TAGGTCATGGCCTCAATAAAGCAAAAATAACCAGTCTGAGGCTATTTTCAGGAGAAAAAAAATATCCCAGATAAACTACTGCAAGTATGCTAGAAAGACTTTTCAGACCACATATTTTACTTATTAAAGATTAAAATGTGTCTCTGTATTTTGATCTATATACTCCCGATTTAAACACTGAAAGCAAAAAGCTTCAGAAACAATTCTAAGCAGTGGTGTTAAAAACATTAACTACATTCAGTTACCTTTTATAATGCAGGTATTTAGTTTTAAAATATGACTTTGCCTTTGGAGTCCCCAGTATTTGTAAATGAAGTTAAAACTTAAGATCAATTGAAAGAATATTCTGCACACTTAGAGAACTTCAGTCCAAATCAATATGTTCTCTCAGTGGTGTCTACTCTGGTTAATGCATTGTCATTCCTAGCCTCAGTCCATATACATCTATCCAAGAGGATGATGGATCACCAGCTCTGTGCTGCAGTTCTGTCACAGAACACAACATTTCTTTTGCAAACAACTGAGAAAAATGCCATCAGATAATTTTAAATTATTAATTTGCAGATTTTATCTTTAACACAACTTTGAGATAATATTTTGCAAAAACTTTATTTTAGGTATCAGGTATCTACCCCCAAGCTAAATTATAACACGGTAGTTCAGATAATGTCCAAAAAGACATTAAATGAAAAAAAAAACATAAGATAACTTCAGAAAAACCCATTTAAGCCTCTACTACAGAACTACTAGAACTGATTTTGGCAGTTCTAGCAGTTTTTTCCCCTTAACATCATTCTGCAAAAGGACTGGAGTCTTTTTTTGCTGTGACTTTTCAAAACAGATTCAAAACCAGAGATTTCACTATTAATATTTCTGGCCTAATGCTTAAAGACTGGCAATATATAAGAAATTCCTATGATCTCACAGAAAAGCACAATTTCAGTCTCTAGAACACAAACTTGAACACTACTTGCTGAAGCACAGGTTTCATCTTGCCATAACCATACTACCAAGTGCCTTTTGCTGTCCCTGTAAAAATCCAAATTTCCATATAAAAGTCCTATAAATTTCCATAATTTAAAATTTCACTGGCACTTCAATAAGCTCTAAAGCTCACCTGGTATCACCTATGAAAATGGCATTAAGTAATCAGCATGATCACACCTGCATTTATCAGATTTTAGTTCAATCCTTAAAATGTTTGCTAGCAATCGTCAGAGTTCTCCTGTAAATTGTAAATACTCAAAGCAATGAAAAGAAGATCATAATACAGTAATTTTATAAAATATCTCAAATCAAAATTCTGTCACACTAAGGAAAGGACAAATATTTTTTTCTTCTTCAAAATAACATATTTAGTTTCCATGTCTGTCCTCTAGCACCATATCCTGCTTTTGGCTTTTCAACAGTTCTGTTCCTATCTGTTCTGAAAGACAACATTTATCCCATCTAGCATTAACATTCATCCCTATTAACTAGGAAATAAATCCTACTTCCTTTAAATCTACAGCAACTTATAAAGCTTTTTTTTGCACACTCAATCCATTTTTATGGGTTTATTTCAGGCAGCCCAGGAATTGTTTTATTTTCTCCTCACAGAAAGCATTATTTTTACATACATTACCTCATCACTAGAACATGTGCATTTTTACTGCCATAGTGCCTTAATCACCCCAGAATATCTCCAGCTTTTCAGATTTGTTCAACTACTCAAACAGATTTAAAAAAGAAACAAAACTGAACAAAAATAAAAATTAGATTTTTTCAAACTTTCATTTATGTTGTTTCCTTTAAAATAAATCTACCCACAGATTGCAAATTATGGCAAAACTAATACCTGAAATAATTTTAATGTGCTATATTAATCCAGGATGCTTCATTATCATAAGCTCTATTAGTTCTCTTCATGTAAATACAAGTGGCTTTTCAAAATTACACAAAAATGGAAATGGAAAGCAGGAATTATAATTTAGGTCAAATCAAGCCTGAAATACCTTTTATTGTGTTGCTTGTGTTGTATATTTTACTCCTCTCCATATATCAGTTACAATGTTTTTATTCTGAATTAAAAGATACATTAATTAAAAGTCCTTACACTGAAATGAAATGCTGATACTTCTTTCTTATTCCCCAAACTGAAGGACTTTCCAGTATGCTATAAAGCTACAGGACAAGAATGGGAAGTTCCCAGACACTTAAACTACTATCAATTGAACTTCTTGATCTCCACAAACTTCCAAGTTTGGGGAGTAGGGTTTTGTTTGGTTTCTTTGCTTCCTTTGCAAGCCCCTTTCTCAAATGTGCAAAGTGTAATTTAAAATACTCAGATCTACACAGTTATCTCAGCTCTTGCCCTGCCACTGCTCAGTCTTAATTCAGCATAGCACAGTCAGAACAAGCAGGAAGCTGAAGGCTCCCACTGTCATCAACCTGAAGAGGAAGGAAACTGAAAACCTGAGAGCCCAAGAGACAAACACATCATCTGAACAATCCAGTTCTTCCCCAATGACAATTATTCTATTTTCTATGTCAATGAACTCATGCACTGTAACACAAATTCACATCATTTTATCCAAAGGGGATTCACTCTTCTAATTTCTAGACAGACACCAAGAGAAGAGGTATTTATAGTGTTTACATATGCAAAGGTAACCTCCAAAACTAAGGCCATTCTTCACAGTCTGAAGATGTTGAAAAATGCCTCTTCGATCAGGACCAGGAAGTCCACCTGGTTATGGGTTTTTTATTTAGTTAACATGTAAGCAAGCTTCAAATGAGGCACATTTCATTTCCTGAATCTCACACAGGAATTCTAAAGACAGACATCCAAAAGATCACCTAACTTCCAACAGGATTCTTCCTAGGTGAGCTTCCATAAATAAATCAAGGTTATAACAGCCATAACTTGGGAAGCAGAAGTGTAAGAATTCTGCTTATCTCCAGACACCACAAAAAAACTACCAGAAGGTCTCCCCATGTGCACCTCTGCCACAGTAACAGCTCAGTCTCTGTACACCACTTGAAGCAAAATGAAGTGTGAGGTGTTTTTACATCTAATACGACCTCAGTAACAGCAACTCAATTATAGCAATTGAACTGTCACTGCAAGGTACCTTTCTGGTTTCAACCACACAGCAAAGCCACATGCAATCTAAAGAGGGCAGACAAACATCTAATGCTCAGCCAGCACCTATGAAGTCTTCATTGAATCTTTAATCCTAGATTAACCTATTCTGCACTCCCTTCCAATTATAAATGGCTATTCAGGCAAACATTTTTCAGACACCTAGGTGAAGGCAATCAACACTTACCACTCTCCACAGTGCACAGCCTTCAACACCCCCACAGCAGCTGTGGTCTGTCGTTCAAAACCTTGTCCTATGTGATCCGCATGGGCTCGGGTCCGGTCTTCAAATAGCATTTCACGGGGTTCACTGGTTCGAGGTAGGTACTGCAAGTTTTTTATTTCATTGGTAGTTCTGCATAAGAAAAACAGTAACAATGATATAGAAATTTCTCTGAATTACCCAATTTCCATCATAGCCAACAGGACCGCTCATCTACGCAAAAAAACCCTCTTTTTTTTCCTTATTTTAAATGGATTTTCTTGTAATTCAGTTTGTGTCCATTTTCTCTGTTCATGTCACCAGGCACTATTGAAATATGGCCTTTTTACAACTTTCTGTGAAGTGCTTAAACACATTAATATGATCCCACTGAGCATTCTTTTCTCAAGAGTAAATCCCAGTTCTCCCACCAATTTGTATTAACATATAATATCAAACAGTAAAAGGTTTGGGATAAAATGAATTTGTAAAGAAAAAACTACTAACCAGACATTTACCAAGTAAAATAATTCAACTTACCTCTTCCTTTTGAAAGGTGACTTTGGCATGTCAGCCACAGGGATCATCTGTTCTCCTGGACGTACCCACATAATGGGACCATCATCACTGTCTTTACGACTCTCTAATTTTAAACTAGAAAGTGTTCCCCATGGCAGTGTACACTAATGGGAAATACAAGCCACAGTTTTTAAGTGAGTTACTTTAAAAAACTTATTAAAAGCAGCCTTTATCTCTCAAGATGAAAGCATTTATTAGAACACTCAATTATCTAAACAAGTATCATATACTTTCACTTTATTAATTATAACAGCACTACAGAGCATGTTGTCCCCCTTCTCCCAGCCCACTCCCTTCTGTTCTTACTTTTAAGAAGGGTGATTCTTCCAACATATCAAGGAATTCAGGGAAGTAATCCCCCACTTCCTCATCAACTGCTCCAACCAGGCTGATCTGTCTCATTGGGCCAGCTCTATACGTACCATGAGAGTATGTTCTTTTTACCTACAAGTAGAATATGACAACAGAAGTTATACCGAGTCCTCTACTGTGCAAAATCTACATTCAAGGAGCACCTTTAATCTCTATGCTTATGCTTTATGAGATAAAAAGAAACACTTTCTTTAATCCTTCAGTCTCCAGTGTATTTAAGATTATTATGAAGTCAATTAATACAAATTCAAAGACAGAACGTCTTATTAAACATCCACAACAATTTGTATTTTATTTTAACACCTGAAGATAAACTGGAAGAAGATAACATTCCAAACCAGTAAGTCTAAAAAGGTATCAATGCATGTTATGCTCAGTAACTAGTCAATAAGGATTCTTACCTGGATTACTCAAGTCTAGCTGAATTTCTACCTTTTTTCTTGAGGCAGAACTCTGAGTTACAAGTAATTTAACTCTAAACATTTCCTCTGCTATTCATCCTCTCCAGTACCGCCTCCTTGCAAGCATATTAACTGGAGCAAATTACAACAATGAACACAAGGCTCAAAGAGTTGGTACAAAAAGCAAGACAATAATCATCACTCCTTCATTTTTGCTATGCTGTGTTAGCACATCTTGTTCTCCCTTCAGACTTTTAACAGCTGTAGCATTCACCTCTCATGAAAAATCTTCTACTGGGAAATTTTAACAGAAATACATTTTTAAAGGCTTTTTTTAACAATCTGATCTGTTGTGTTAGATTACCAAAATACTTGGGCATGAGATTGATGAGGATTATGTCCACATTAAGCTTCTGATTTTGTGTTTAACAGGCTAAAAGACACTGGCATTATGAGGTGAAATACAAAGAGATCAGAACAGAGGAAAGAGCAGATGGATTACTGCACACACCAAGTAAGGCTCCTGTATGGCACCTCTTCCTTGTACTTTTTTTACTTTCATCCAAGGCAAGAAAAGTAAAAAAAAAGTGCAAGGAAAACAATTCATTAAATACTGCTTAGCTATGTTCCTCAACCCAACAGACCATCAACATTCCTAGTAGTTATGACAGCACAGAGGAGAATTAACAGCAGTTCCTGAAAACAAAACATGGAACAACACTGTGCCCTTCTGATAAATTTAACTAATGTAACCATATCTTTCCAGAAATGCAGAAACAAACACCATTCTGAGCATCCCAGTCACCTCTCATTCCTCCCAGCAAACAGATTTATGGCTAAAAGCAGGATTTTACAAAATGTCTTAGATAATGCTACAGCAAGCCATCACAGACACACTGAAAAGAACAGTCCAGTTATATTCCCCCATTCCTCAAATCCTTAGGGTTTTTTTGTTTGTTTGTTTTTGCAGAGGCAGCTGGTGATATTGTGATAAAATATCACAAAAAATTAATCAGCTCAGTCCTCAGCTACATCTGCATTAGCACAAAGCATCAGGATCTTGTGCAACTACAGTAACGAGCAAGGAAGAACCCTAAAACCACTTTCTGAAGCTATAGACACCCACAAATCTGTGACACTTGATCAAAAAAATTAACATGTCAGTTGAAGAAACATCCTTTTGCATAAGTAGCTCAGTATTCTACCACTCCAGTCCAAGATACTGGGATGCTGTTTCCATCTACATCCCTGATTAAAGAGAACCATTTTTCTGCATTCTTCCATTCTTCTTTATGCTACCTACTACCACCCTCCCAAGTAACAAGTCCTAAGACAAGAGAAAATGGTCTGAAGTTCTGTCAAGGGAGATTTAGATTAGATATTAAAAACATTTCTGCACCAAAAAAGTTCTTAAGCATTGGAATAGGCTCCCCAGGGAAATGTTGAGTCACCATCCCTGGAGGCATTTGAAAGATGCATAGATGTGGAATTTAAGGACAGTTTAGTGATGGATTTGGCAAGACTGGGTTAGCAGTTGGACTCTTAAAAAGGTCATAAAGGTCTTTTTCAACCTAAATTATTTTATGATTCATATAGAAGATGATAAACTGGTTGTGAAACTACTCCAAGTGAAAACTCTAAAAAATTCTCCTAAAAATACTAAGTTAAAGCTTAGAAAAGCTGTGAAGTTTCCAGCTGGATCAACCTACCCAATTTGATTTATATACCACTAAGTGTTGGTAATGAAACCTAAAGTCAGCAAAGTATTTAGCTGCAGCATAATGCTTAGATTAAGAAGGATGAAATAAGAAATTTTTCATTTCTTACCAAAAAAAAAGAACATGCCACTGAAAGTTCAAACTGAAAAATGAACACAACTTTTTCAGGCATTGTTTGTCCAACCCCTTTTACCCCCAGCTCTCCCAATCAACCACCATCCCCTTAACCACAAGGCAGTACAATTGCTTCTCAAGATCCAGCCGAGGTGAAGAAATACCAACATGAATGGTTAAATAATGTCAAAGCTCCAAATGATGAGTGGTTTATTCTGGCACCATATTCAGAATCACATCATTGCCAATACAGAATGAAATGTCTGAGTGATTGTGAACTCTGCAGTGGCTTAACCCCAGGCAGCAGACACTGATCTTACACCCCCCGCTCACTCACCTCCCACAGTTGTGAGACACAGTCTGAGGAAACAGGAAAAGCAAGGAAATGTATGGGTCCAGACAAATCCAGTTTATTCAGCAAAGACAAAACTCCACCACTCACCAACTCCCACAACCAGACTGATGCCCAGACTGGTGCCAGCAGTGCCCAGCAATAGGCACCTTACAGCCAACTCATCAGTTCCCTCGGCTTATTTTGCTGAGCCTGATGTTCTACAGCACAGAATATCCTCACAGTCAACTGGGACCAGCTGGCCCAACCATGCCCCCCTCCCAGCTTCTTGCCCACCCCAGCCTACTCACCAGGAGGGTCCTGGAAGCCTTGACATTCTGCCAGTGATGCTCAGCAATAGCCAAAACATCAGTGTGTTACCAACAGTTTTGGTCACAAACCCAAAACACTGTCCACAAAGAAACCCATCCAGACCCAGTATAAGCAGGAAAGAAATCCATGTTGGTGATCAAAGGGGAAGATTTGCTCTCTCTTTTCCCTTCTTTCCTGATAGCATTAGGTCCTCTGAAGATGATCAGGGAGCAAGCCTAGGGATTTATCTGAATTAAGCGCAGGAATTACCTAAAAACTTCTCTATTTTAGCAAATTATAATAAATAAATAAATAAATAAATAACTACATAGGCCATAAATATTAATGCCTGGCCAGAAAGAACAAGAGAGTTTGAAAGATGAAGCAGCTGTGGACAAGTGAAAAGCAACTCCTGTCTCATCTCTTCCATGAACTGGGTTGTAGCATCCTAAACACTAGTCTTAGAGAAGAGGTTAATGCTTGAACTACATTACCTTAGACTAGGCTAAAGACTTAGACAAGCAATGTATAAAAAGGTGAGGTCATTCTTAGTGAGGAGTTAATTTTCACTCACTCCCAATTTAGACTGCTACTAAGTAATAGTGTGAAAACACCAAATCCTCCCACTGATGTTTAACCAATGACAAACAAAATTAACCCTAATAAGACAACAACTAAATAAATACAGCCTGTGACATGTTACATAGCAGCAACATCTTCCCTTCCTTTTTACTGTCAGTATCCATTATCTGGTTTGCTCACAGGAAGAGAAATTGATTGTTCTGTGCATTTCTAAACTGACAAAAATAATATTGATGTACTAAAACCAGTACTTATCAAATTCTATATTAAATTATGGACTGACTGCTAATAGAGTACTACATATATTAAGTAATTTATATATATATATATATGCACACCATATATCTATATATATACACACACACTTTCTATAAAACAGCGTTCCCAGATGCAATTTCACAGCTTACAGTGTGATTAGGTTTTTAGAATTTTACAGACTTGTTCAAAAGTGGAACAATTTCAATCCATAAGAAAAGGAAAAAATCAAGGACATGCTGCTCTTGTAGCATGTGGTCAGGAATGAACACACATAAATCACCAAATGCATGCAGTAATACCATGGACAAGTAAAAGAGATAGAAATATAAAATAATAAATATGACATCCTAACTTCTTTCTTCTCATGTAGCTTACATTTGAAGTATGTCACCTAGAAACACACAAAAGGAGACTGTGTCATTCTCTTGCATCACAGTAATGGAAAATTGTGACAGTAAAACCACCACTGAATCCACATTAGTAAAACTTGAGAATTATCTGCTTCTGTGACTCACACGGCCCCAACTGATTTTTTAATGCAACAGCAAATGTTTTGACAGAAATATCTTGGTGTCTGACAAGAATCTGAAGACTAAATGCAAAAATACATACATATATATACACACACACATAAATACCGAAAATATATTTGAGCATTATCATCCTACAAATGGAAACATTTTAGACACCACATGATTTTGTATTTCAATAAGTCACAAAGTGAAGGGAACAATCCAGAGAAACCATGCATTTGAAGAGAGGAGATGTAAACTGAATCCACCTAGCAATTGAATTCCTATTTTTAATATAGTAGCATGTGGGTTGTTGTGGGGTTTAGGTGGAGGAGATTTTTTTTCTTATTTGAAACTTTATCATTTTCCTGCTAGAATTTAAAGGTTTAAATTTATTTCAATGTTTCACCTTTAAAACCAAGAAAGTTTGGAAAAAAAAGTCTTCAGAGAAAAAAAATAACCAACAACAAACAAAATTATCCACCAACTGAACACAATTTCAAGAAGCCATAGTCCCACCAAAGACCAACAAAAAAACTCAAAAATTTTACACCACCTAAGAATATGCAAGGACATGGAGGATTTTGCTACACAAGTGCACAAGCAATGAACTTACACACTAGTATCTCAGAACAGAAAACATCTCATTTCAAAGTCAGTGTTAATCTCAAACACTGCAGCCATGAAGAGGCCGTTACCATTCCTGTTAACTTGGCACATTACAATAAAGTGCCCAAGCAGCTTTCTCTTCCTTGCCAACTTCATTCAAATCCTTAAATGCTTCCTTATATTTCCAGTTCAAATGAGAGCCAACACTGAATAAATATTCATCAAAATTGCTCCG